ATGTACATCTTGTTTATATATCCATTCATCAATAAACATTTGGGTTGCTTTCATGTTTTGGCTATCGTGAATCATGTTGCTGTGAACAAGGTGTGCAAATATTTCTTTGAGTTCCTGCTTTCAATTCTTTTGAGTCTCTCTCCAGGGGTTGACTTGCCGGATCATACGGTAATTTATTTTTTATTTTTTGAGGACCCACTATACTGTTTCCCATAGCAGGTTTTGAATGTTTAAGAAATTAGTAGCCAACATTAAAAAAATCTGGGTTCCATACTTCTTTTGAGACATTAAAGGTTAGATGCCTTTGGTCCTGCACTCCCAGCACCAGCCTCATCAGATCCCCCTTCCCGAGATTCCAGCACCCACAGGCAGCACCCCCTCCTCAGAGGCCAGGGTCCCAGCTCTGGAGGGCCTTCTTGGTTCTAACTTCTTTCCTTTGTCCCCCTAGCCCCAGGTAGTAACTGCCCCCCTCCCTGAGGCTCTGTGATTCCCCAGTGGTCCCCTTTTGCTTTTTGAACTCTCCTGTACCTAACACACCCCCTATATTAGATTTGTCTGTTAAAATACCTGATGAGGCTCTGTTTTCCTGGCTGGCCTCTGGCTGGTACCACTCAGCTGGTGTTCCTGCCTGGAATGCTGGATAGCAGCTGCCCCCTTTGCTCAGATGTGAGTCATCCTGGTCCCCTCACCCCCACTCCCCATTATTTACATCTAGCTGATTTTGCCTGACTGACTGTAAGTTACCTTATGTGTGCCCCTGCTCTAATCAAGTAACTCTTGCTTATTGAGTGTCTACTGTGTGCCAGAGACTGCATATAAGACTCGATATAATTATCTCTCGTAATCCTCTCCACAGCACTGTGAGGTAAGCACTGCTGTGACCCCCACTGTATAGATGAGGAAACTGAGGCTGGGAGGGGGAGGCTAATTACACTGTCCTTAAGTCAGCAAGTTCATATTTCTTTTTAAAAAATGTTATTGATTGATTTTAGAGAGAGAGAGGAAAAGAGAGAGAAACATTGGTGTCTCCTGTTCCACCCACCTATGCACTCACTGGCTGACCCCTCTATGTGCCCCAACAGGGGATCAAACCCACAACCTTGGTCCATTAGGACGACGCTCCAACCAACTGAGCTAACCAGCTGGGGTCAGCATGTTCATACTTCTGTCATGAACCCTTGTATGGCATTTATACATTTGATAAATGTCTGATCTGTGCGCTCCATGCTCCCTTTAGAAGACAGTAAGTTATACACAGTCACTTGAAATCAAAATCAGAAACTAACATTCCCTGCCTTAGTTCTCTCTTCTGTGAAATGGGGACCATGACAGATGCCACCTCACAGGGTTTCGATGAGGGTTAGATGATGTGATGTGTGCAAAGTGCTCAGCTCCACACCCAGCATGTGAGAAGTGCTGAACAAATATCAGCAATTTATATTATTACCTAAATATAGAAGGATTATTATGTAAAGCATGAAATGTAGAGCAGCCGGAAGTGGTGCTTATGGAGATTGTGTAGTAATGGAAACATGCTTATTCCATGTGAAAGCAAAAAGGGCCCAAAATAAAAATAAACGAACTCACACACACTAAAAAGACTCACAGAAAACAACCAAAATATTATCTGTGGTTGATTTGGGGTGCCAAGATTTGGGGCATTTTTTTTTCTAACAAGTATGTAAAAGATGCAATCCCATCAGCATTCCCATGAGCTTCTTCACAGAAGTTGGCAAGTGAATCCTAAAACTTGTATGAAAATGCAAGGGATCTAGAACAGCCAAAACAACCTTGAAGAAGAGGAACACAATGGGGGGGCTGGACCACAGGCACGGACACCCGGGCCAAGCCCAGGGCTGAGTTGGGACCACACAGCCGTGACTCTTGAGAACATCCCCTACTGGTGGGTCATTAGCCTTCTGGAAGAATGCCCTAAGCTTCAGTGACAGAGGTATCTCCGAACAAGAGTAAAAAATTCTTGCAGCAGGAGTTGCTTTGGGAGGTAGTGAGGCTTTCATCACTTGAGGTGCGGGAGCTGAGCTGAAAAACTCCAGAAACAAGAGAATGTAAATTCTCTAGTCTCATGGTTTCCCAAAGACAATGCTTTCACCCGACCATAGTGATCTGAGGAAGAAAGGCACACAGTTAGATTTTCATAAAGCTTAGTTTATGCATTTCAACTCCCATTTTGTTTCTGATGATCATTTTCCTGCCTTCTTTTTTTTTGGATGCAAAAGTGTCCTTTCTTTTATGAAATGCTGATAGCTGATGTTTGTTGTTGTTTTTATTGCCCTTAATGGGCAAGGTAAAGAGCTGGCAGCCCTCCCTCTGTCACTTTAAAAAATATTCTGTAACTCGGAGAATCCCAGGCTCTGGGAATCACCGGGGACAACTCGCAGCTCTGACACTTACTTCCTGTGTGAACTTGAGCAAGTTATGAAATCTCTTTGAGTCTCTGTTTTTTCCATCTGCAAAATGGGGATGATTCAGATGCCTCAAGGCTGCTGTGAGAAAATGTACGTGACTGTACTTGGACCATCACAACCACTTGAAAACGTGCCCTCCAGAGTCTATGAGCTACACGGAAGCTCCCACTGTTGTGTTCTGCAAGTTGAAGAGTACTTGTTCCTTCATCATTCTTTGTATTTCCACTCTGGTCTCTTCTGTGTGTTCTCAGTTTGTCACTGTTTTTCTTAATCTAGGAGTCTAGAACTAAACACATGCTTTTGGTATGGCCTGGCTGTGTAAAGTAGGACCTACTACACCTCCTTCAATCTAGACTTTCTCCCTCATTAATTCAACCAAAATTTATAATGGACTTTGTTTTGGGCTCTTATCTCACTTCTATGGTATTTACTGAGCTGAGAGTACCAAAAAGCATCCAGATCTTTTTCATAACAATGTTTGCAAAGCCCTGTCTCTCATTCCAAATCTGTGCAATTGAAGTCTTGCACCTAAAATGAGAGGCTTTATTTTATATTTATTCCCTTTTATACTTTACTCCATAGGACAAGGTGCCTTCCCTGATAAATGGAATCAAAGAAGACACCAAATGTATTCTTACACTCAAGAAACGTAAAGAAATAGTTCACTGACTCTTTTTCAGTCCAAGGAAGAAAATGTTTATTTGAATCTTGAAAAGAGTCCAGGGCTGCAGGGCTGGCACCAGGCGACAGAGCCTAGATGCTGTAGCCTGAGTACCCGCATCTCACCCACATCAGGTTCACCCAGGGGACCTGACGTGGTGGTTCCCTGTCTCAGGGCAGTGGTACCTGTCCTGGGATGGCTCTGGAGGAACTGAGAGAACATAGGATAGCCTGGGGACTTGAGAGAAACCGGGAGGCCAGAGAGATTACAGCTTGCAGGGCCCAGGGGTCTCCTACTTCCTCCTGAGAACAGTGATGTCCCAGAGTCTTCCCGCTGATGCAGGTACCACGAAGGGCTCAGTTCCCACACCCTCACTCTGCCTCCACTCTGGCAGCTGGAATGCATGTCAAGGCTGCCCCAAGGATACCTCTGCCAGGGCTGCTGCCAATGTTCAGACCACATGGAATGAAAGGTGCTCTCTTTATTGCTCTAGCTTGGCCTGTCCGCGTACCTCCCAGAATGTCACTCTGTGCTCAGGGGATGCCATGGTGGTCACAGTGGGGCCTGGCTTGGCGGCCCTCCCGGCACTGGTCTCAGTCGGTTCTCCTGAACCCTAGAAGGAAAAGTCCACTGGATGGCATGGGAGTCTGAAGGCAGCCAGGCCTCATTCCCACCATCACCCCAGATGCCTAAATAGCCCTCACAGCTGGAATAATGTAGTCACCCCAGAAGCCACAGGCCTCAATAATCCTCAACCATTGCAACTAATTTCCCCTATATGAATTAAATGGCTTAAAGAAGATGGAAACCTTCAGCCCAGAGACACACAGCCTCTCAGTTTTGAGACTTAATGGTAGTCAGGGAGCTGCTGGTTATAAAATTGAATCTCCTTTAGCTCAGCCCAGCCACTCTAGCTGTGTGACCTGGGCAAGTCACTCTACCTCTCTGAACCTCAGTCTCCTCAAATAATGCAAGATAAGTAAAGCCCTTCCACTTGCTATCAGGCAAATAAAATCATGAAGATAGAGTTTTGGAAATGGGAAGTTCTATGACAAAACACCCAGATTCCTTTACTTTTCTACAGTGCTTCACACTTGGGGACTTTTGCATCCACTCCTGTAATGATTTCCACAGCACCTTTGTGTGGTAGGTATTATTACACCCATTTTTCAGTTGAGAAAACTGAGGCTAAGAGGCTCCAGGGCCCCAGAGCTGGTAAACTGGAACAGGCAGTATTTGAACCCAGGCCTCGACTTCAGGCTATGTGCTCTTTCTTATACGCTAAGCCTGGTTAGCAACAGAAGACCCTGATCAGGAGGAGAAAGCGAACTTAGGAAGAATGTGAAAGTTACCCATCAGCCTGAGCTTCTGAAAGAGGGGGATGAAGCCGTGCAGGACGCTGTGGATCCGGTACACTGCCCAGACAAAAGAGAAGGTGACTGAACTTTGTGCCTCCTCCAGGGATTCAGGGTCAGGCCTCCTCCCACCCATACAGACCAAAGCTTAACCCATACAAACAAGGCTCTAATGGTGGAATTTCAAGCAGTAAGTTAAGCTTAGATAATAGTACCAAAGTTATTAAAAACAGCAGCCAGGAACAGCAATAACAGTGCCAGGAAACAGAGATCGCAGTACCCAACCCCATTAACTAACTTGTTTTCGATGTCTACCGAATTCTGTTTGTTTGCCACTTTCAACTGTTTTTGTTGCATTTTTACAGAGCTGCCCATTTTTTTCCACAGAGTTTAGCTAACGACCTCGCATTGACCTTGAAAGTGGTCAGGAAGAAAACATGAGCATGAGGAAATCTTGAAAAAGTGTTTAGGTTGTGGCTTTCTGGCCCTTGGCAGGCGTCTGGGCTGGTTCAGCCACCACCCTCCAAGAGTCTGGGTGGGGGGCAGAGGGGCGCTTACCCAGACCGAAGTAGATGCCAACGGTCTCCAGGGAGGCAAAGGTGAGAAGGCCAACTCCGAGGGACATGAACCAATCTGCAAGGGCAGCCAGGAGGAGAATGGTTAGGCTGCAGGTCTGGACCCCCACCACCCTGCCCCATTTCCACAGCTCCCAACGCACCTGCGTAATAGTGATAACACACCAGCAAGGCCCCAATTGCAAAGCAGAGGAGGACGAAGTGGAAAAACTCATCTGTAAAGGCAGAGGAGGTAGAGAATTTGCTATTTGCTTCTTTCCCCCTCTTTTTTTAATTACTAAAAATATTCCTGTCTCTGCTGAAACATAGTTTTTATTCAGAGATGCTTCTCAGGACCAGCTCAACTAAAACAGCACTCCAAACCCCACCCTTTCCAGCTTTTATCTCACTTTATTATTTTTCTAACACTTATCACCACTCAACTGGTTATATTTTTATTTCTGTGTTTATTCTCTGTCCCCCTTAGTAAGATAGTGGGTGGAGATTTTGCCTGTTGACTAAAGCAGTGCCAGGCATGCAGAGCTGCCAATACTTTATTTGGGGAATGAGTGTTAAATTCAGCTATAAAAAAATGCAAACGTGTCAAGTTTAAAAGTTCCACCTTGCCCCATTTTCCCTCCCTCATCCCACTCCTTCAAATCGAGTGGTTATTGGCACAACTTTTCCAGGCACCTGTATGTACATGCACAAGATTTTATTTATTTATTTTTAGAGAGAGGGGGAGGGAAGGAGAAAAACATCAATGTGAAAGAGAAACACAGATTGGTTGCCTCTCGTATGCACCCCGACCAGGAACCAAATCCACCACCCAGGCATGTGCCCTGACCAGGAATCGAACTGGCAACTTTTTGCCTTGTGGGGCAATGCCCAACCAACTGAGCCACACTGGTCAGGGCTGTACATGCACATTTTAAAAAATAAAAACAGGGTCAATTTTTATAGCTGCTGCTCTATAATTTGCTTTTTTTCCTCTCATTGATAGAGCAGGGCCATCTTTTCATCTCAGAGCATATATAGATCTGCCTTGTTCTTTTTGATGGCTGTATAGTGTTCCATGGTATAAGGTTACCCTAGTTTATTTAATCCCCCACTGATGAATTTATTGATGTCAGACATTCGCTGTTACCACTGATAAATCAAACATCACTACACACAAACCTTTGCATTCTGTGGGCCCAGTGCCCAGAAGTGGAATTGCAGGCTGGAAATGTTCTGAACAGAATGTAGTTAACAGAGAGGAACTGAGAGGCAGGGCTCGTGCCTTGAACAGGAATTCAGGGGTGGTCTGTGAAAGAGGCCCCCCTATAGAGGCACTGTTGTCATCAGGGAAGAGAACACAGGAGCTTTGACCTAGTCAAGGGGCTGTGGTTAAAAGAAATGCGAAGATTTCAAGAAGAAAAAAAAAAAGAAAAAAGAGAGGACAGTTCATAGACAGTTTCCAGGAATGACACAGGCTTCCTGAACGGGTGTCGAGGCTGCCAGAAATGTGTGTCAGTTTGGCCCAGTCCAGCCACTGATGTGCTGTGAGGCTTTGGACAAGTGTCCCGACCCCTCTGAGCTTCAGTGTTCTCACGTATACATTGAGGAGAGAAACCTCTGTGCCACTGAGAGGATGGAGGGGGGTCGTTACTGGAAAAATGGTAAAAGGCATTTGACACTTCAGATCACTGCTGGCAAGGGGCATTTTGAAAGCAAATGAATGGAAGGGGAGAGGGTATTACTGTTGTTTTTTTTTTTAATGTGGGTTTTTTAAATGTTTTTTGTTTGTTTGTTTTTTTAGATTTTATTTATTTATTTTTAGAGAGGGAAGGGAGGGAAAAAGAAAGAGAGAGAGAAACATCAATGTGTGGTTGCTAGGGGCCGTGGCCTGCAACCTAGGCATATGCCCTGACTGAGAATCGAACCTGCAATGCTTTGGTTCACAGCCCACGCTCAATCCACTGAGCTACGCCAGCCAGGGCTTTTTGTTTGTTTTTCCATGGGAGAAAATTAAAATGAGCATTTCTACGACATTCCTGGCTCCAAAATCAGTTTGCCCTTTAGTGAAAAAAATAAAGTGCATGCAGAAATGACCATAAGGTTTAAGAAAGCAACAAGTTTAGGTCTCTTCAGAGATGTGAAAGCCTGGGGTGATGTGGATTATAGAACTATTTTCTCCTCTCTTCCTCACCCAATCTTTCAGGAACATAAAATGAGTCCTTAACAGAGAAGTTCCTCCTGAATCTTAATTTTAGTTTTCTTAAGAATATTTAGAAAATACAAGTGTTTGAAAAAGAGAGAGAGAGAGAGAGAGAGAGAGATCAACAAAATGCAAGATGAAATCGAGGACTGGATGGGTAGGAGGGCTTACTCTGAAAAAGCATCAGAAATAACCTAAAGGTCTATGAAGTGGTGAATAGTAAGTACACCATAATGCACCCCTACTGTGGAATATTATGCAGTTGTTAAAATGTCATAAAAATTCAGGGGTTATGGCAGCTGGGGCTGGGGCAGGGGCAGTCCAGGAGGAATTCATGGAGGAATGAGAATTTGAGCTGAACCTTAAAGATTGTCAAGATACCGGACTTGAATGAGAGGGAAAGACATGCACTTGTGTGTACATGCACATGCTACTTGGGAGGCACAGATGAGATGAGGGGAAGAGGTGGGACCAAGGCACAGACCCAGTACAGCGAAGGGCTGGTTCAACCAGGTGAGTGCAGGGACTGTTGGAGACCAGAACTTTTGGAGGCTGAAGAGGTCGGGCCAGGAGGAGGACTCTGGGGTTATGTCTGAGCCCAGAGGGACCTAGAGGATCATTCTTGCCTTTTTTTCTCAAATTTTAGCCATTCACACACCACTTTTGTGGTTTTTTGCTCTTTCTATGTACCACTGCTTACCATCTTCACAATTTCATGTTAATTCAAGGACCATCTATACTAGTATTTACTTAAGATTTTTCTTTAGCCCTGGCTGGTATGCTCCAGTGACTGAGTGCTGGCCTGTGAACTGAAAGGTCACCCGCTCAATTCCCAGGCATGGCACGTGCCTGGTTTGGGGCCAGGTCCACGGTTGGGGGTATATGAGAGGCAACCAATCAATGCATCTTACACATCAAAGTTTCTCTCCCTCTCTTTCTCCCTCCCTTCCACTCTCTGAAAAAAGAAATAAAATCTTGGAAAAAAAGATTTTTCTTTAAACAGATTCTGTTTTTTTTCCCTTAAATCAATTTACATTAAAAGGAAAACTTATGTTCTGACAGTAAATGGAAAACTAGGATTTCCTTGTCTTGATGAAAAGTTTTCAATCGTCAAAATATGGAAGCAGCCTGACTGTCCATCAATAAATGAGTGGATAAAACAACTATGAGACATTTACACAATGGAATACTACTCAGCCATTAAAAAAGAAAAAAAATTACCCTCTGCAACAGTATGGATGGATCTGGAGAACATTACACTAAATGAAATAAGCCAGTCAGAGAAAGATAAATACCATATGATTTCACTCATATGTGGAATCTAATGAACAAACTGAGCTCAGAAGCAAAATAGAGACAGACTCATAGATACAGAGCAGGATGTCAGCTAAGGTGGGGGAGGGTAAGGAGTGGAGGGATTGAGGAAAAAGGAAAAAGGACTCCTGGACAACAGTATGGTGATTGTGGCAGGGATGGGGCACAATGGGACTAAATGGTAATAGAAAAAATACAATAAAAAAAGTTCTACACACACACACACACACACACACAATTCTGTTACTGAATGATGACAGATGTTAACTAGGCTTATTGTAGTGATCACATCACAATGTATACAAATCACGAATTGTGATGTCATACATTTGACACTAATATAATGTTGTATGTCAGTTCTAAGAAATTAACACCTAAATTTCATTCAGAAAGTCAGGGACATCTTAAAATTAGACATAAATGTTACCAAGTATATTTAAGGCTCTGTTCCTCTAAAGAAAATAACAAAACAGCAGTATTTTTCATTGATAAAAGCTATACTTATCATTTCATCAAAAATGTTAAAATAAGGATAAGGCAAATGGTAGTACTTCATTTTGTAGAATGGTAATCTTTGTATTTTGTAGATCGGACAGTTCAAAATGCCCCAATTGCCAGATTTTGCTGATTGTAGAACACACACACACACACACACACACACACACACACACACACACAGAGCAAGACGGTGAAGCGTTAGCCAGCCAGCTGCCTGCAGAAGGCTCTGCACACAGGGAGACACTCCTCTCTGTGTCTGAAGGACAACGAACAGGGGTCAGGGAAGGGTTAAAGGCATGGAGTCCTGGAACTGTGACCATGTTCTAAGAAAGAGAGTGAAAAGGGGACTTACCTTCTTACTTTGGGGTATAATGCCATGTCCTGAAGCAACTCAGATACGTTCTGTTCTTTGGGAGTCTCAGTTTTAGTCTGATAAGGCTCATTTTTCTAGTCCAGGAAAATTAAACAGCTGGACAGAGGCAGAGCCAGGGGCACAGACCCAGGTCTCCTCTCCCTAAAGGTGGGCTTTTGCAACAACTCAAAATGTTTTTGGAACAACTGCCATTTGTTTAATCAAAAATCATGGTCTCCCTACCCTTATCCTTCTCCATACAGCACCCAGATTCCAGGCCTGGTGTGGAAGAGGTCCCTCAGGTTCTCATCACCCCTTCTCTAGAGTCTAGTCTAACCCAGCCTCAGGGCTTTCTCAGCTGTGCCATTTCTGGTGCTTCCTGGCCATCAGGCCTGGGAGGGCACAGATCATCCTAGTGACTCCATGTAGAGCAGAAAGAGCTTAAGACCAGGGTTCAAGCTCAGGTCATGCCACTCACTAGTTGTAAGACCACTCCCCATCCTTGAGCCTCAGTTTCCATGTCTGCAGAATGAGAATCATTGTACCACCTTCTGAAGGTGATTTTAAGCTGCCGGTCACATGACAGGAATGGGCTGTCACTACTCTTGTTCTAGGCCACTAGCTGACTTTCTCCCCATAGAAATCTGGACCAGACAGGTGGAAACAGCTTTGGAACACCAGTTTCCTTACCATCTTTCTTTATGTTCAGTCTTCTTAACTGAGAGGCCTCCATTTCTCCTTAGGAACAAGAAATTAGTGTTTAACTTTGACTCAGGAGGGCAGGTGGGATTTTCTCTTCCCTGCCCCACTGAGAATGGTCCTCCTGGTTCTTTTTCCTGTGGCAGAGGACATGCCCTGCAGGACCTACTGGGGCAAAGCTGTGATGGTGGGGATGGCTGTCCTTGGGACCCCCACTGGCCCCTCCTCCCTCCACAGGCCTGAATCTGTGCTCTGTTTCATTTCCCCTGAGCTTGGAGGCCTTCTCCCTGAATCACAGTGACACTGCTGGGACTGACCCACCCTTCCAGAATGGCTGTGATCCCTCCCACACCCTTGGAAGCCAGGCCACCTCCTGGTCTCCTCTTGGAGCTTGAGTACTTACCACTTGCTGAGTCTGAGCCTCTCCTTCGGAGTCCTGAAAATAGAAACTCAGCATTAGTGCCCGGGCCTGCTTGGGTCCTTAACAGCTGCCTCCACGCTGGGAGGAAGGCCATAGGTGACCTGTGAAAATGCTCCTTTCAAATTGTCCTGCCCTCAGGAACTCTTTCTATCTATCCACAGTGGCAATAATCTCTTTGCCTCTTTCCTGGACCCCATTCCTAATCACTGGCCCCCTGCCTCATGCCACAGCCAGCCCTGCCTGCTTGCTGAGCCCAGGTCAGAGCCCCAGAACCCCAAGTGGACTTGGAGTCCTTGTCTCACAGCCATGAACCCTGATAACAGCGGGCTCTCTTGGAGGAAAGATGATGCCCAGACCTCATCTAACACAAACACAGACAAACCCTCTCCTCCAAATGGGCACTCACCTGATTCTCCAGAGGGCACCATCTCCCCAGGGGCACCTGCACAGAAGGAAAATCAGAGGTCACTGACTCATCAACCTTTGGGTGAGGAGAAGTTACACTTCAGAGAAGGTGGACCTCACTCAGAGATTTCCATTTGCTCTGAGTGGGCCGAGTGGGGGCTGGAGCAAGCTACAGGGTTCCTAATTCCATCTCAAGGGACAGTTGCCATCCACCAACCGCTAAAGCCGCTGAAGGAATGCCTGCCCAGTGTTGCAGGTCTTCCAATTTCCCTGAAACCAGAAATCCGGGTTTTTATATAAATGTTTTTTTATTGTAAATATTTTATTTATTTACTTTTAGAGAGAGGGGAAGGGAGGGAGAAAGAGAGGAAGAGAAACAACACTGTGTAAGAGAAACATCGATCAGTTGGCTTTTGCACGCCGCCAACCAGGGACCCCACTTGCAGCCGGGACATGTGCCCTGACTGGGAATTGAGCGGTGACCTTTCAGTTCTCAGGCCAGTTCTCAATCCACTGAGCTACACCAGCCAGGGCTTACATAAACTTCTTGATTATAAAAAAGGTTGGCGACTCTTTGCATTTTAGCGAATCAGACAGTTTGTGAGACGCGCCATTACTTTATATGTTACTATGTAAGGAAAACCACTGCCAATTACCATTGTAAGTTGCCAGTGATTTTATGATGCACTATGATTTCAAATATGTCCAAATGTGAAAAACTGTTAGTTGTAGAATTGATGAAATGTATTAATAATAGTTTTAAAAAACACTCTGTGAGCCAGATAAAACACACCTGCCCACACATGAGTCGCTGCCTACAACCTGGGCCTGTTCATGACTGCCTAGATGTAGGCGATGACACCCAGCCACAAGGCCCTAGTCCCACCAGGCCTTGGACTTCTGGGAGCCGTTCTGGGTTCTACATGGCAGCCCCAGCCCCCAACCCTGAGTATCAAGCCTCTTGTCTGGGTGAGTTGAGCCTTGAGTTGCAGCCTCACCATTAATCTAGTCTGGGGTGGCCTTCCTACCCCATTCACCCTCTAGTTCTTGGTTCCTATTCTAGTTTCTGGTAAAACCTAGCCCATCGCCTTCTTCTCCTCCAGGGCAGGTAGGACCCCTACCTACCACACCCACTACCACCACTACCACCACCAGGAACCCCCACTCCTGTACACTTTCTGTCTTTTAGAGCAGCCCCAGAACACAGACACCAGAGGGGAAATTTGGCACATGGCAATAAACATTCTGCATGCTCAACTGTTCATGAGTGCTAACATGCAAATGGAAACACCATCTGTAAGTAACTAAAGACTGACCAGTCCCAAGGGTACAGAGAATATACGGAGGATGTCATGAAATGAGACTCCAACAGTGTCATTTAACAAGGAACTCCAATGCCTTGTGGTGGGAGTGGGCGGGGGGGGGGAATAATTCACAAATATGTGACAATATCTAATTATCTATAGCAAATATGAATTACTTGTATGATCAGGGAAAATATTTTAGCCCTGGCTGTTGTGGCTCAATGGGTTGAGCACTGGCCTGTGAACCAAAAGGTCACTGGTTTGATTCCCAGTCAGGACACATGCCTGGGTTGCAGGCTAGGCCCTCAGTATGGGCCACATGACAGGCAACCACACACTGATGTTTCTCTCAGTCCCTTCCCTGCTCTCTAAAGATAAATAAGTAAAATCTTTAAAAAAATACTTTAAAATATATGTAAAAATCAGTTTCTCACAGTTCACACCCAGTGAAATCTTTCTTTCATACTTGAGTAATTAAAAGCATTTTTCTAAACAAAATAATACTTGTTTTTATAACAAAAAGAAAGAAATGAAAAAAATCAGAAAATTTTCAAATAAGCAAATAAATAGCAGAAAGATTACCCACAGTGCCACCACCCAGAAGCAGCCATTCTTAATATCTTGATGCAGGACATCAAAATGTTTCATTTACACTTCTTTGAATGTGTGTGTGTGTGTGTGTGTGTGTGTGTGTGTGTGTTTCCTGGGTCCTTATCAGGAGTTAGGAGACTAAGTAGATTAGATTATAGAAATGCTGGATTAAACAAAGTTAAACAGGTTTTCTTATTTGGCCATGTGCATTATTAGTCAGGCTTTTTTGCAAACATGTTCATTCCTACAAATTCTCCCATGTTCTTAGAGTGCTACAAAGCAAAAGGCCATAATATTTAGATCTTGCTGTAATAATCACAATGCTTGGAGACAATTATGCCATAATATGAGTTTTATAGAGATCAGATCCTTGATTTTCTCTTACAGGCTTAAACAGCCCAGTATTCCAAGAGAGTGGGTACTGATCATATCTCATCTTGCTGGTTGGGAAGCAAGAAAAGTTGGGGAACTGGTCAAGTTAAAATTATAGTTCAGAAGAGAACCCAGGACAGTTTCATCACCCCGGTGCAAAATGCTTGCCCCATCCCCATCTGCCAACACTATAGCTGCTCACATTGTCACATTTCCCATATCTTCCCACAACTTTTCAGCTCATGAAACACACTTATGATCTTGTTTCTGCACAACAAACCCCTAGGCCCTCATGTCCTTTGTCTAATTCTGTTTTCTCCAAAATCACTGGACAATCAGTTACCTCCATAGAGTTGAAGCGCATCCTGTAAAAGGTCAGGTTCCCCATGCTCAGCACCTGGTGGAGACAAACCCCATCAGTAAGTTCTCTCCCCAGGAGCAGCATCCCAGGGCAGCTTCCACCTCACACCTGCCCGAAGCTGTAAGAAGCCACCTAGTTCTTGTGCTGGGGATGAGCTGTGTGGTCTTCAAGAGGCCAGACAGCCTTCCAAGTGCTTTCCAAGTGCTTTCCCTTGACTCAGTCAGACCCTCTGCCCTCAGCACGCCTAGTGGTGACTGCTCAGTTTCCTAAGAATGAATTGGGGGTCTGAGAGGGCCTAGGCCTCATTCAAAGTCAATAATAACAGTTGCCATTTTTTGAGCACTTGCTGTGTACCAACACTGTATGAAGCACTTTAATGTTTTATTTGTTCTTCATGGAAATCTGATGAAGGAGGTATTAGTCTCTCTCTCCCCCCCATTTTACAGATAAGGAAACTGAAGCTCAGAAAGTTATTTCCTGAAATTCACATAGCCAGTAAGTTCAGGTTCAAACCCAGGTCTATCGCCAGACCTAATCACCATAATCATTTTTATCTCCAGAAAAAGAACCCAGCGCTCAACTCCAGCTTCATGGGCAGTGTTTGTTAAACACCTCATGTGCGACAGGATATGTATTAGGCATTAATTCAGGCTGTTTTCTTCCCATGATCCATTGGGGCTGAAATTTACCTTTTATTTTTTCCAAAAATTTTCTTCTTGTTGTTAAAAATAAACATGCTCATTGCAAAATATGTATAGCTTAGGATAGTTCAAAAGAGAGAAAATAAAAATCACCCATAATTTAACTATCCAGAGATAACCATTATTAACATTTGGATACTTTTCCTTCCAGTCTTGTTTATAGCCATGTATGTGTGAATTTTTACAAGCTGTATAGGAGATCAAACTGGTTATATGATTTGACATCTTCTTTTTTTCACTTCAGAGAGATACGAAGGACAGAGCTCTAACCAAGACAGGGTGCGGCATCAATGACCTATTTTGCAGTTGTCGAACATTGGGTTGTTTCCCATTGTTGTCCTACTACAAACAATGCTGCGAGGGACATCTTCACACAGACATGCTCAGTCTCAGGGAGCCGAGGGGGCAAAGAAAAAATGGTGAGGCCTATTGCCTACCCAGTGAGCCGCCCCTGTGGGGATGTCTACCCCCCTGACTCTGCCAGTGTTTTCTGGTTTCCCTGCAGTGCTGGTCCTCATCACTGCTCTCTGCACAGAACAAACACAAGCTGCAGGAGAACCTCAGCCTGGAAATGAACCTGGGGCACACTCGTTCTGTTGTTAGTTCTCAGAGTTCAGCTTCTGTGAGGAGTGTGGTCTGGGGGAAATATACTAATATGTGTTTGATGGTTATCTCTGGGTGACAGGGCAAAGGATTTTTTCTTCTTTCTATATCTTTATATGTTCCACGTTTTGTACAATGTGCCTATGAGTAATCTCTCAAAATAAAATTTTTTTAATAAAAAATAATAGGATATAGCCCTGGCCGGTGTAGCTCAGTAGATTGAGCATGGGTTGCAAGCTAAGTGGTCATTGGTTTGATTCCCAATCAGCATGCATGCCTGGGTTGCAGGCTAGGTCCCCAGTGAGGACCACATGAGAGGCAACCACATGATGATGTTTAAAAAAAAAATAATAATAATAGGATACATTAAGAACAAGAAGATGTAGGAAGAGCAGTGCCGGCTACTGGACTATGATTTAGGGTCCCACGCGTGGAGGAAGACTGGGGGCTGCAGTGAGATGCCCGGGCTTGGGGCCCTGGGGTCACCATCTGAGCCTGAAGAACACACAGTTCCAGCAACAGGCCGGTCACTGTGGATCAGACACCAGGGTCCTGAATATCAGTTTGTCTCTACACTTCTGTGTTTGTTTTCCTGTTGCTTTTGCTTGGTGTTGTTTTGCTAACCACAGCCAAGCCCATGTGTGCTGTGGATACAAGAGGGAAGTGCTTTATGGCAACTCTTGGGGGACAACATTAGTGTGGGAGCAGTGCCCACTAAGGGTCAACCAGAATCAGAAGACAGAATGTGCCCTCCCACCACGGAGCAGAAACAAAGGGACAGAGTTCCCCTGCACCTGGATCCAGGCCCTTTTTCCACTAGAGGCCTTTCAGCCTCACGGTGGGTGTGTCTGTCTACTTTTTAATAAGGGCAGTGGTTTCCTTTGCCCATGAGGACACTGACTACACACAAACTCACTGGACCCATTAACCACTCTCTTTCTCTTCTGTATGCTGAAGTAAGCATGGATTTTGTGGCCTTGAGTCTAAATCTCATCATTTGCAACATGAGGACATGATGCTAAGGATGGCATTCGAAAGCATTTTTAAACCTTTAGCCTAAGATTGCTTTCATCAAATGAAACCTCACACCCAGGCCTACTATGTAAAACAGATCAGGAGCTCTGGTTGAGGAGCAGTTAGGCCCCCCAGTCCCTGAAAGACCTCCAGGGAATCCCAGGTTGGTTGCTGAGCCCTCTTCCCGCTGGTCAGTTAACCTCTGTGCCTCAGTTTCCTCACCTATAAAATGGTAATAATAATAGTACCTCCCTCAGTGGGTTGCTATGAGAATTAATTGAGTTATTAAAGTACTCAGAACAGTAACTGGCCCATAGTCAGTCCTCAATACGTGCTGGCTATGATGTTGTTGCTGCTGCTGCTGCTGCTGCTGCTGCTATAAACTCAGCTGTACATTTTGAATCAAAAGAATAAAAGTGAAAGAATATTCCACTGTTTATTAGAGAATAATGTGGAAATTTGTAATCAAGACCCAAATAGAGATGCTTCTTCCTCTAAACCCACTAAAAGTACTGGTGAGGAAACAACACTTAGGACATGATTCATATGAAGAATTTAAAATGCAAAAGTTCTTGGGGAAGGATGCTCATGAGTGTGATAAACTGGTGGTGAGGTGGGGCTGGATTTAACAATAACAGATCTCTTTTGACTTTTTACTGTGTGCTAGGTGCTAAGACTTTACACATGTTATCCCCTCGAGAGTCCTATGAGGAGACAACTTTTGTTACCATCCTCATCTGACAGATTAGGACCTCAAGGCCTACAGGGTTAAGCAATTTGTCCAATTTTCTACAGGGTTAAGCAATTTTCTAGGACACATAGCTAGTTAGTGGCAAAGGAAGGATTTGAACCCCGGCAGGCTGCTTGAACGGACAGACGTACTGACTCTGGCACCAGAGTGCGCTAGGAAAGCTCAATGTCACTTCACATGAGATGCAGTCACTTAAGGGGTTATTCAGGCATGAAGAATAGTCAGAAAGATATTCTAAAATAACAGGGCCAAATGTAGAGGAGAAGACAGCAAAAACTTTTAAACCATGGACAAAGTTGTCTATACAATTTAATTATAACCATGTACATGTTATGTGTACAGACAGGTGGGCCCTGGAAGGGTATATGGAAAAATAGAGCTGAAGTATGAAGGTGGGAGATTATGGGGAATGATTTTCCCATGCAAAGGTTTTCCTGGATAATACAAGATTATATATACATGTATATTTAAATCTTTGCTATACCTGAGGCAGAGGAAGACGAGGAGGAGGAGGAGGAGGAGGAAGAGGAGGAGGAGGAGGAAGACTTGGAGGAGGAGGAAGACTTGTCTCTCCTATACTGTTTTGGAGAAAAGAGTCTGGCCTCCCCGTCTTGCTTCTGGAGATCTGTCTCTCCATCTGGGAGGAACACAGAGGCAAGGATGAGTGCTCCCCGCCCTTCCCACCTCAGAGACCACCAAGGCCTCCTCAGAGGTCTGTCTAGACTTGGGGAGCCAGGAGGGGCTGTTTTTCCCAGATACTCCAAACCCCTAAGGCCAATCGAAGGTGAAGAAGACCCTGGCTCTAGGCAGGCCCAAGGCAGAAATTTCTCTGAATGCAGAGCTCAGAGAGGGGCATTTAAGGGCCCTGTCCTACCCTGAGACCACTAGACTAAATAAGTAATTGCCAACTTAGAATTCTCTGTAAATTTTAGGGGAGGTGGGATCAGATTAAGCCCTAAACCTTCCTATCTTCTAATACAGCACAAGGCAGGACCCTCCCCACCTTCTGGGGACCCTCCCTAGTGATAGTCCAAGCCCACAGAGACTCAGAGATTTCAGGAGCAACTGAGGGTTCCCACAGCTGGAAAGTGCTAGAGGACAGACTGGATCAAGCACACATACGTGTGTGCATGCGTGTAAAATCACTTCTTTTCTAGGTTTCAACTGTGCCTTGAGCCATTGTGCCACACGTGCTAAGCAGGGTCTTCTTCAGTTCTACCCACTGCTGGATTCCACCTCCCATGTGGCTTTGCCCAGAGGGTTGGAGGAGGCAAACATACGGTCTGTTTCTTCTGTATTTCCATGAACTCGACTGTGGTCTTGAGTCTGGGAGGAGGATCCTGAAGTCTCCATGGCCTTCCCTGGAGGAATAATAATAGCAAGTAATTAATATCACAAGTAACTAGTAATCAATAATAAGCAGTTAATATCCTTAATATATGAAGAGCTTGGCACATAAATCAGAAGAGGAAAAACGCCCAACTTAAAAAGGTATAAGAAGAACAATTTACAAAAAAAGAAATATACAATTAGGGAAATTTGAATAATGATCTTTTGACAATGTAGGAACTTACCAGTATTTTTCAGACTATAAGACGCACCCCCCCAAATTTGGGGGGAAAGGGGGTGTGTCCTATAGTCTGAATGTAGCTTACCTGGCTCAATTGGGGGTGGGGGGAGCGGTGGCGGAACAGGGTCACAGGTTATTAAATATTTGACCACATTTTTTACTTCAAAATTTTTTTCCTATTTTCCTCCTTTAAAACCTAGGTGCGTCTTATAGTCCTAAAAATATGCTACTTACTTTTAAAAAATAGACTTAGTTTTTAGAGCAGTTTTAGGTTCACAGTAAAGTGTAGTGGAAGGTATAGATTTCTCATATACCTCCCATCCCCGAACATGCCTAGCTTCCCCATTATGAACATCCTCCACTAGTATTTTTTTAGGTGTGATTTTTTTTTAATTTAAAATACTTTATTTGTTTATTCTTACAGACAGGGGAAGGGAGGAAGAAAGAGGGAGAGAAACATTGATCAGTTGCCTCTCGCATGCACCCCAACAGGGGACCTGGCCTGCAGCCCAGGCCTGTGCCCTGACCAGGAATCAAACCAGTGACCCTTTGCTTTGTGGGACAGTGCCCAACCGACAGAGCCACATACCAGTCAGGGCTTAGGTATGATATTTATATTGAGATGGTATTTATTTGATAAAATTATATGATGTCTGAGACTTGCTTTAAAATAATTGTTGGGGTAGTTGGAGGGCATCGGTGGGGGTCCCAAGAAACAATCACCACCATCAGTCAATAGTTATTGGAGCTATATCAAAACACAGTGTGTGGTTCTCACACACACTGTGTGTTTGTGTGTGTGTGTTTAAAACACACACAGAGGTATAATTGGCATATAACATTATATTAGTTTCATGTAAGCAACATAATGATTTGGTATTTGTATGCACTGCAAAATGATCACCATAATAAGTGGTGGTATTATGCCTGTTTTTAGTTTCTTATTTTTATTTTGCTATTGTTATAATAAAATAACCAATAATTTTTCATTACTTAAAAATGTAACATGCCACCTTACATCAGTATAGCACTTAATGGTTTTCCAAAGGGCTATGTGTCTATAATTCCATCTGAGCCCTATCACAAACCAGTCAGATAGGAAGTGATTAAGTACCCTTCACATCTGAACTGCAGTTTCTAGAAAAAAAAAAAGAAACTTCCCAAAAGATTGTTTCATGTGACCCTTATGATAACCCTGCAAAGTAAGTTCTATTATCCCCATTTTACAGAGGAGAGAACTGAGACTCAAAGACATGAAATGACCTGCACAAGTTGGGACCCAGAACCCGTGCTCTAGTTAATGTAACCCAAAGCGCTGGTCTGGGACACGAAAGTGCTCCAAGGCCACCATGGAGTTGGGCCTCCCTGGAATGGATGCAGAGTGTCCCCCGGGGACAAAGATCACACCCACTTGAGAACCACTGGTCTAGACAATATGCTGGTTATAAAAAATTTTGTATTATTAAATTTTTTTGACAGACAGAAAAGTAGGCAATATGATTGAAGCAAGATGTTCCCCTGCTGGCTTTGAAGATGGAAGAAAGGGCCAAGAGCCAAAGAATGCAAGGAATGCAGCTCCAGGCCTGGCAATAGATTCTCTTCTAGATTCACTGGAGGGAGCTCAGCCCTGATTTTGGACTTTGATCCCCAGAACTCTGTGTGTGTGTGTGTGTGTGTGTGTGTGTGTGTGTGTGTGTGTGTGTTTAAAACACACACAGAGGTATAATTGGCATATAACATTATATTAGTTTCATGTATGCAACATAATGATTTGGTATTTGTATACAATGCAAAATGATCACCATAATAAGTCTAGCTAACATCCATCAATTGCCACACATAGTTATAAAGCATTTTTTCTTTGATGAGAATTTTTAAGATTTTTTTCTCTGAGCAACTTTCAAATATACAATGGCAGTCACCATGCTGTACTTTATATCCCCAGGACTGACTTATTTTATGACTGGAAGTTCGTACCTTTTGACTCCTTCATCCATTTTGCCTACCCCCCACCCCCTGGCAATCACCTACCTATTCTCCACACCTACAAGTTTGGGTTGTTTTTGTTTTAGCAGAGAATCTAGTCTTAACCCACCACAAGACCCTCGCAAGGCAATATCTTTCCCTGATGTCTCAGAGCCAGACCAGCTGGGTTTGAATCCTATCTGCCACTTCCAGCTATGGAAGCTGAGCCTGTCACTGAACCTCTTGCTGTGCCTCAGGTTCCTCATCTGTAAAATGGAGACAATATTAGTGCTTACCTCCTAGTATTGTGAAAATGGCATGAATTAAAACACATGAAGCACTTAAAACAATGCTTGGTACAGAGCAAGTGTTGAATAAATGCCAGCTGAGATGATGACCATTATTAAGACAGGGGGCAGGGTGGGAGCAAAAAGACAGAATTTGTGCAATGGCAAGAGCATGTGCTTTGGGGTCAGACTGACCAAGGGTCCAACCCCACTCTGTCACCTATGCATAGGATGGCAGTCCCCATCTCTAAGCTCTATTTATCACAAATGTGAACTAGTGATGGCAGAGGTTTAGAGAGGAAAGAGGGCTGGTGCCTACCCTTAGTGGCCTCTGAAAATGTGAGTTTTGTCTTCTCCAGGCTTCCTATTACCCTCAGACATTCGGTGTCCAGGTCCGGCCCTGCTTATCCCCCATCTTCTATTACCCTCTTTCTAGAATAAAAATTCCCATTTTGCAAGGCAGAATTCAGCTAAGCATTAGGTAGTCACTAGCCAAGGAAACTGATTAATATTCAGGTATGAATGACTGATAACCATAAGCCTCCAGGGCATATCTATATTTTGAAAAAAACTCTTTGTACAGAGCAGATGTCTAGTACATATTTCTTGGCTGAGATAATCTCTGAGGGTGGAATTTCAGGTAGAGTGGAGGAAGGGATTTATCACACATATTGGGGAAGGAGAGCTTCTGGCTGATGCCAAGTACACCAGAAGTTCACCCAATTGGTCCTTTCTCTTTCCTGCCCTAGCTGTCTATATCACTGGGCAGTCCCCAGCCACACACAGCATTTTCAGGTCTCCAGACTTCTGTCCAGGCTATTTTTCCTATTGTCACAATTGTATCTGACCTTCTAGGCACAGCTCAAATGACAGCTCCTTCATGAAGGCCTGTGCTGGTTGCCTGACCAGCACCCTTCCTCCTGACCCCCACCCCATCCGCTCTTCTTCACCCACCACCCTTGGATTCCTTCCTGGTAGCAACGCTGCAATTTGTTCTCCCAGCTCGTCAGATACTCGTTTTTCCGGCCTTTCTTGTAGCTAGGGTGGCCATGTGACCCAGTTTCATCTAATGAAAAGTTAGCAGAAATTTGTTGGGGTTTGGGAATAGTTTTGCTTCTCCTGACAAAAGAGGGCAGCAGGGCTGGTGCTGTGCCTTGTTTCTCCTTCCTCCCCTGAACACTAATGTAATGGCAGGAGCTATAGAGGCCATCTTGTGACCTAGAGGAAAAGCCAAAGCAAATACAGAGATGTTGTTGAGCTACTGAGCCCTTGCCAGCAACTGCCTGCGTTTTTGTCATTTGAGAAAAACAAATTATTTTATTTAATCCTCTGTGGTCAGAAGTTTTGGCATTTGTATCTGAACACAGTTCTGACTGCAACACATTTCCTCTCTTACATTCCTACATTAATTGAGCACCAACTGCATGCTAGCACTGGGATACTGTGGTGAACAAATTGCAGCCCTTCCCTCAAGGAATTTCAAGGCAGACCTGGGGGCTGTTTGGAACCAGGGGCCAAATCAGAGCAGGGCCAGTCGGGGAAGTTTCCTGAAGGAGGGGAGTTTCCTCTCCCCATCCCTCAGCACATCACTCTCCTGAGCCTTAGTCAACTCTGCCTTCTACCAGACTCTTCTTCTTCAAGGCAGGGCACCTCGTTGCAAAACTCCAGAAGCCACCATTCCTATTCACCTTCGGATCTGTGCTCAGTGCTCAGCAGAGGGTCTGATACACCCAGGATGTGTCTCTTCCACTAGATCACGAACCTAGCCAGGGCTAGGGACTGAGGCTGATTTATCTATGTGTCACGAACCCTGCACAAGGCTGGACAGAAAGAAAAAATGATGATAATGATGATGATGATGATGATGATGATGATGATGATGACAATAACAAATAAATGCTTACTATCTGCCAGGCAATGATCTAAGCACGTTACATGTATTAGCTCATACATGCCTCACCACAGCCCTGGAAGGGCTCACCATGGTTGTGCTCAGTTTATAAAGAACACTGAGACATAGAGAGGCTGGGAAACTTGATCAGGACCACAGAGCTAGTAGGGGGCTGAACAAGGATAGCTGCTCAGTACATGCTGGGGGCTAGAAGGACTGAAGCTAGGATCTCTTCCCAGGCCCTTTTCATTTGTACCAGGAAAGAGGCAGTCACGGCAGTGTTATGCAAATAGCGCTGACTTGGCGTATATTTTGCCACTGGTGGAGCCCTGAGCAGGTGTCCTCACAGCCAAGGCACTTCCTGGGGCAGTTCTTCAGCACGCCCCATCGGGAGAGGGGGCCTGGTAGGACCTATCCTTGCCCCACCCCTCCTTTGCCCGTATTTCTGCTATGAGAAAGGATAAATAGAATTTTTATAGTTTAAAACTCAAGAATCAGTGTGCAAGGCAACACTTAACACAAAGGACGGAGCACTAATGATGTAACATCAGGCACCGGCAGAGGGATGGCTGGGAGGGGCTTCTAAGAGCTCAAGTTCAATACATGTATGACCCATGGACATGGACCATGGTGAGGGTACTGACAGTG